GTTTTTGTTGCCATTTTGTCTATGCTCTTTCTTTGATCATGGCTTTCAAGTAGGATTCCAATAATTCTTAAAGTATCTCCCCTTGATTTATTTTCCAGGTCAATTGTTTTCCAATGAAATATTTCACATTTTCTTTGACTTTTTTCTTTTTTTAATTCTGTTTTATTGTTTCTTGATATCTCATGAAGTCATTAGCTTCTGCTTGCCCAATTCTAATTTTTAAGGATTTATGTTCATGAGTGATTTTTGTATGTCTTTTCCCATTTGGCCAATTCTGTTTTTTTAAGGTGTTATTTTCTTCAGTATCCCCCTCCCTTTTTTTTCTTTACCAAGCTATTGTCTTTTCATAATTTTCTTTCTTTGCTTTCATTTCTTTGCCTAATTTTTTTCTCTATCACTCTTATTTGATTTTGAAAATCATTTTTTTTTTTGAAAATCATTCTTTAGCTCTTCCAGGAATGCTTGTTGGGCTTGTGTCCAATTCACTTTTTTTTCCTTCTGTTTCAACTTTTTGTTAAAATTTCACAGAAGAGGAAACTGAGGGCCACAAAGGTAAAAGTGCTTTAGTGAAGGACACTCAAGGAGTAAATAGCAGACCTTGGCTCTTCACTCAGTTTGTCAACACCAAAGTCAGCCTCCCTTGAACTAAAATATATCATATTAGCCTTCAGAGGGTCACTCAGTTGGCTCTGGGACTCAGTTTTGTCATCTGTAAAATGGGAGTGGGGTGGATTAAATAAACTCTAAGGCTCTTCCTCTTTCTAACACTCTATATCCATTTACCCAATCCTAAGAATTTATCCACTCCCCACTCTTTATGGCTCTTCTCAGGTGGCAGCTGGACCCATTTTTGCAAGCACAGATGGTCAAGTAACCTACCAGTAGGTGCCCCTAGCAATGGTTTCGGCTACTGCTTTAGTAGAATGTGGAATCTTTCTAATAACTCAAAGGACTTTGGGCTAAAGTTGAGCCCAGAATTACACAAGATTTTAATTGACTCCAACCTCATTTTATTGCTTATACTGCATGTTGGTTATTCCATTTCCTTTATTTCTCTGAACTCTGCCCTTGGTTCAGGAGGATGGGAGTGTCTTCAGCTGGTTGGACTAGGGAAGCCTTCCTGCTAACAGGGTTGCCAAACCTATATAGACCTATGCCTTTGAGTCTAAAGGTTTCTCTCCCTTGCCTGGCCCCTTCACCCAGAAATCATAAATCTGGCTCCCAGACAGGTAGCCAGTGAAGATGAGGGGATGAAAGGGTGGGAGGGAGACGGGGAGCTGGCAGAGATAACAGTGGAGGAGAAAAGAGACCTGGATTGAATAAGTCAGAGGATCTCATTTGTACTGAGGTTTGTTGACTCCTGATCCAACACTCATTTACTTGACTGTTGGCAAGGTCTCTCCCCCATCTGTGACCCTACGGTTTTGTGCACCCCTCTGGCAAGCTCTCCCCTTGGCCCATCTCTCACCACAGAGGAAGTGTATAGGCTTGCCAATTCAGAACTGAAAAAGGCCAGAGAGGTTGAGTCCACCTCCCACTCCCATCTTACAGATGAGGAAACTGCAGCTGAGAGAGAGGGGTTAAGTTACTTTCCAATGGTCATACAGCTAGTAAGTGTCTGAGGCAGGATTCACTCTGCCCACCATGCCACAACACCCAGTTGGCTTTGCCAGGGGTGAAAGATTAATTAGAACAACCCAGTGCCGTTCCTTTCCATTTTTTCTGCTGAAGACGTTAAGAGAAACATTTGCCCTTTGTTGTACTTGGGACCTTCCTCTGCCTCCCTCCTCTTGAAATCATTTCAAGATGTGCCAGGCTCGGTGCCTGCTGAAGATGCCCTGGCCAGACTGAGCGTCTCTCTCACACAAACACAGGCACACGCAAGCAGATGCAGGCATGCACACACGTAGAAGCACACACAGACGCAAATGCGCACATGTAGTTAGATGCACATGAGGCAAACACACACCTCACAGCCCTCCTCACAAGCATCAGCACAGACACTGCCCCCGTAAGACATGCACAAGCGCACACACCCAAGCTCATACACACATACACGCCTGTGCATGAACACAGGCAGGGTCCCCTTCGCTCACACACCTGTAAGGATAGACAGCTGGTGTCCCTGTAACAGGACAGCTTGCAGAGCTGCCCCTCCCCCTCGCCTTTCTCATCATCTCACACCTTTTCTCCGGCACTGAACATTGATCCTGCCGAACCGGCCTCCTTGCTGGGTCTTCACACAGGACAGTTCATCTGCCGAGGATTCTCTCTGGTCATTCCTTGTGCCTGGGGTGCTCTCCCTCCTCATCTCTGCCTCCTGGCAGTGTTCCAGCTAAAATCCCACCTCCTACAGGAAGCCTTCCCTGATCTCCTTTCGTACTCCTGCCCTCCACATTATCTTGGTCATCTCTACATTATCTTGCTTGGACATAGTTGTTTGCAGGCATATCCCCCATTAGAATGTGAGTTCCCAGAGGACTAAGGCTGGCTTTGGCCTTTCCTTGTATCTCCAGTGCTTGGCACAGTGCCTGGCATATAGCTGGTGTTTAATAAATGCTTGCTGACTACCTGACACACACAGGGAAGTGCTGGTTGAACTCCTGCTATGTCACCCACCCCCAAATTCCACGGGTCACTTTCTCCAAATTTTTTATCTTTAAAAATTCCATATGAAGTCTCCCGCAGGATCTCCACTGTGTGGTTACCCAATTCATTAGTCCTGCCAGAGGCATTTATGGATCATGATCAAACTTGGGGCTGAAACGTGCTCCTCCTAGATGATTAAAGACTATTTGTGCTCAGTGAGTGTGCCCTGATTAGCACATGCCATTAGTCAATCATTGACTAATGCTGTCATTGTATAAGATGGGCACCCTCCCTGCATGCTGGCAGCCTTCCCTCTACTCCCTTTCACTGGGAGGCTTCCTCAGGACTCAGAAGCCCCACACAACAGCTGGCTTCCTCTGTGCTTCTAGCCCCAATGGCTTCTCCCCTTCAGCCTGGTGGCCTCCTTCCCCTCTGGACATTTCTCCTGCTAGTTGGTGGCTTGGCAGAGGCAGGCAAGCTGCTGGTGTTGCCCATGGATGGGAGCCACTGGCTCAGCATGCGTGTGGTGGTGGAGGAGCTGCATCAGAGAGGACACGAGTTGGTGATCATCACCCCCGAGGTGAGCTGGAGGCTGGCGAAGTCGGCCCCATACACCGTGAAAACCTACAAGCCCTTCTATAGCTTGGAAGACTACAACCAGATGTTCAAGAGATTTTCTGACAACCAATGGGACAACATAAATAAAGGCCTGCTTTCACTGATGAACCCAAACATCACTTTGTTCTTTGAGTATGTTTTTTCAAACTGCAAGAGTCTATTTAAAAACACTGAGCTGCTGCAATACATAAAGGAGAATGCATTTGACGCCATTTTTTTCGATCCTTTTGACCAATGTGGCTTTATTGTGGCCAAGTACTTCTCCCTCCCGTCAGTGGTCTTCAGTCGGGGGCTCTTTTGCCATTACCAAGATGAGGCAACCCAGTGCCCCAGCCCCCTGTCTTACGTCCCTAGAGGACTCTCTGGGTTCTCAGACTCCATGACCTTCATGGAACGCGTCTGGAATCATATCACCCATCTTCAGGAAATGTTGCTGTGTCCCTTTTTCTTCCAAATCACCTTGGACCTTGCCATTGATGTTCTCCAAAGGCCCATGACCTTTAAGGAACTGTACAGAGACACGTCCATCTGGCTGCTGAGAAGTGACTTTGTCTTCGACTACCCCAAGCCCGTGATGCCCAATGTGGTGTTTATTGGTGGCATCACCTGCCACGAGGCGAAGCCCCTGTCTCAGGTGAGTCATCTTCTCTATGCACAAGATGTCTAGGTTTGGAAGGAGGAATAGGAGCAGGAGGAAGGCTTTCTAAATGCCTCAAGTCAAGATGCCTTCAGTTCACATTTATCGGTCATTTCTTAATCATAATCATGATCATAATCATAGTAGTGGTCAAAGTAGTTAAGATTTGGATCAATCAATAAACATGTATTAAGTGCCTACTATGTGTCAAGCACTGTGCTAAGTTCTGGGAATACAAAAAGAGGTAAAAGGCAGTTTTGCCACTCAAGGAGCTTACAATTTAATGAGGTTTGCCAAAAACACTTTACAAATATTTCTTCATTTGATCCTTACAACTCTGAGAGTTAGGAGCTATTATATATACAGATGAGGAAACTGAGACTGCAGGTAGTTAAGTGAGTTATCCAGGGTCATTCAGCTAGTAAGTATCAGAGGCAAAATCTGAGCCCTGGTCTTCTTGGCTCCACGTCCAACCCTTTATCTCATGATATCTCATGATTTCTTTTGTTGAAGTCTATGTTAATTAGTTGAGAGGGAGCATGGCATAGTGGATAGAGGGTTGCCTGAGGTAGGAAGATCTGCGTTTGAGTCTCAGCTCTGACAAACACATCCCAGCTGTGTAACTGAGTAGCTGCTCAGCATCCCCAGGTAACTCACTAAGAAGCAGAGCTGTGGCTCATTTGCATTGGCAGAGAGAGTTTTTATTCTGAGAATTCCTTTCATCAATAAAGCAAGGTCAGAGGATGCCCTGGAGGTGGTGATCCATCAATGCTGGCCTTGAGGGTCACTTCTGGCACCTTTGCTCAAAGCTGACCCAGCTCCCTGCTCTGTAGATCATGCGCTGGAGGCACAACTGGCTTGTTGTCCCTGTTCTCCTTTTGAATATGGTGCTTAGGCTCTTGTCTTGATGATACCTCCATAACTTCCCCATGACACCCCTCCCCTACCCTCCCTTGCAACCAATGAGTCCAGTCAAACAAAAGAAATCCCCATGTTGATAGAGAGAAGCACTCGGCCTGCTGATGGCATTGTTGTTCAGTTGTTTCAGCTGTGTCTGACTTTTCATGACCCCATGTGGGGTTTTCTTGGTAACGATATGGGAGTGGTTTGCCATCTCCTTCTCCAGCTCATTTGAAACATGAGGAAACGAAAGCTTGAAACAGGGTAAGTGACTCTCCCAGGGTCACACAGCTAGTAAGTGTTTGAGGCTGGATAGGAACTCAGGAAGATGAGTTTTCCTAGCTCCAGGTCCAGCACTCTACTCTGCCACCTAGCTTCCCCAAGTTTGGTGGTTAGGCAATACTTAATGAAAGAGAAAACCGGAGTAAAAACAAAGATCTGGTTGTGCTGTTCCCTGTGCTTGAAAATGATTGGATTGCTCTATCCAACACATGTTGGGGCAGCAGAGGGGCAGAGGGGCAGCATGAAGCTCCTCCCTCTTTCTACCAACCCAGATGTGAACCAACTCTACAAACTTACAGCTTTGGAGAGGTGCCTGGGACACTGAGAGGTTGAGTGGACCAGCTGGCCCCTGGTTCCCTATATATTCTGTCTTCCCATTAAAATAAAATCTTGAGGTCAAGTATTGCCTCATTTTGTTACTGGATCCCCAGTGTTTCCATGACGTTTGGCATGTAATAAGGACTTTGGAAATGTTTTCTCTTTCATTCATTCATTGCCCAGAGTCACACCATCAGTAGGTGTCACAGGCAAGCATTGTCCAGACACTGAAGCCAGCCCACTACCCCCCAGGGTCAGGGTGCTTCTCTATTTTGATTTATCAATAAATTTGTTTATCAATATTGATCTCTCCCATGAATATGAAACAAGGATAGAAGAGATGAATGGAAGCAGAGTGTGCTGGCCTAAGAGTCAAGAGATCTGGTTTCTCCTCCTGGCTCAGCCACTTAACCCCCTAAGTGACTCTGGAAAATTGGGTCTCAGTTTCCTTCTCTGTAAAATGAAGGGGTTGGGCACAGTGCAAGGAAAGGGCTCTGGATTTGGAATCAGAGGACCTGGGTTCAAATCCCAGCTCTTTCATTTGCTACCTATATCCCTCAGGTTAGTGACTTAATCTCTCTGGGCCTCAGTTTCCTCCCCTGTAAAATGAGAGATTTGGATTAGATAATGACTAAAGTGCCTCCTGATGCTGAGTCGGTGGTCAATGAGGAGCTGTGCGGCCTCAGATAAGTCTCTCCCGCTCTCCAGTCCCTAATTCTCCTCTGTTGAAAAAAAAATGATGGGGTTGGATCGAATGATCTCCAAGTCCCTTGCAGGACCTGCTATCTCTGAATGTTGGTCAGTTAGCTTGCCCTGAGGCAACTCAGCCATTCATCCTGTTCTTGGGGTTGAGACAGGTGATTTTATCTTACTCCCCTCTGAGGATCTTCCCTTTAGGCTTAGCGAGAAGAGCATCTATGAGTACCTAGAGCCCAATTTCACACTCGGCTTGGGAGACAGTGCAGAGGAATAAAAGGCATAATTGGTGTGTAGGGTCTGATGCCTTAGCTGGGATTTCCATTGCAGCCTCAGACAAGTGACACTTGCTTTTTTGTGTTGTTGGCTGGCAAGGGGTGGAGTCTGTGATTCACGCATCCTCCTCTCATTCATTGGCTAATCTTGGGGCCATTGGGGAGCTCCCCAGAAGGAAAGCTCTGCAGATGGTGGGGTCCCCCAGGAGTGTCCAGGCACTCGGTCCCCTCCTGCTCTAACAGTCCATGGGCTGGGTTCTAAAGTCCCTCCTGGCTCAATCTTCTCTGCGTCGCTGAGCCGGGGAGGAAAGGCCTCTCCTGATTGGCCTCCCTCAGCGCTTCCTGACCCCTTCCAGGTATCA